TGGAGACCTGTCATGCGATTCGGGTGTCATTGCAAAGGAAACACGGTGCTGTGGCTACATCCTTGTCGTCAGATAGAGATGAGAAACAGAGGGAGCGAGTACTGGCCTTGTGGAAAAGAGCTTTTCAGTGCCGTCAGACTTTTCTCTGTTTTACTACACTCTTGTTCTGTTTGTAGGAATTATAGACCATCTACCCAAATTTTTCCCGTTATTCCTTTAGCACCCTTTTTTGCGTATTAACCATGGGCACACTTGCTGAAGGCTTTGGCAAAGTCTGTAATATTACTCTGATTCTTTGTCTTCTAGTGCTTTTAGGGTTGTAGGGTCCCGTGCTGAGAAAAACGGGGCAACCACTCTTTAAACCCCTGTTGCCCTGGGTTTGACTTTATGGGATCTAGAAGGGTGGCAATCTTGCTTCTTTGGACCCTTTCAAAGATTTTTAAAGATTGGGTGTTAGCTATCGGTCTGTAATTCTTTGCTATTGCTTTACTGCCCCCTTTGTGGAGTTGGGGTCTGTGTTGGTTAGTCTATCTTCCCAGCTTATATTGTTTAGGACTTGATTTACTTGGTCCCACTTTATGTTCCTGTTATTGAAGTTGAATTTGGTGAAGGGTCCCTCGTGACTAAGCTCATTTTGTCAGTCTGGGGCTCCATGCATACATGTCTGAACCTCGATTAGGTTGTGATCTGAGTACTATATTGTTTTTGATATGGTGACATTTCGTATCAGATCATCACGGTTAGTGAAGATGAGGTCTAGTGTATTCTCCAGTCTAGTAGGCTCTATTATTTGCTGGTTTAAGTTGAATTTTGTGCAGAGATTTAAAAGCTCGTGTGTGTGAGTTCTCGTCAGAGCTGTCTCCTGGTGTTATCACTGCAACATTATTTGCTATATTCCTCCATTTTAGGTGCCTCAAGTTGAACTCCCCCAGGAACATGTTTGGGGCAGGAGCTGGCAGATTTTCCAGACAGTGGTCAATTTTTGACAGCTGTTCCTGGAAATGCTGGGACGTTGCATCTGGAGGCTTGTAGACTACCACAATGACTAGGTTTTGGTTCTCAATCTTTACTGCTAAAACTTCCACTACATCATTTGAGGCATTAAGCAGTTCTGTGCAAACAAGTGACTGTGATATACAGGCCAACTCCCCCCTTTTGCCTGTTCACTCTGTCACATCTGTATAGGTTGTAACTTGGGATCCATATTTCGTTGTTCAAGTGATCCTTTATGTGGGTCTCTCTGAAAGCCGCAAATATTGCATTTGCCTCTGCAAGCAGTCCATGGATGAAAGGTATTTTGTTGTTCGTTGCTGGCTTTAGACCCTGTATATTTGCAAAGAAGAATGTCATCGGACTGGTGGTATTGGTGGTACTGGGGGGGGGACTCTTTTTCTGGCACTAGTACCTGTATCTGTTGGTTTGGAGTGGAGGCCATCAACTGTGGTTCCACTCCAGAAATGACTGGATTTGGCATACGATTTCTGCCATTTCCTGCCAGTTTTTTTTCCTTCCTGGCACTAAAACACCTCTCCCTCCTGAGTGGCTGTGGCTACCCAGGTTTTCCCATGGCCCGGATGTTTTGTATCTTTTTGTCCCCTTTAGATGGTGTGCCTGGCAATTTAAGTTATGGCACAGTCTTTCCTGTACTGAAGAGGGACACATTTCAGGGTGAAAAAGCTTACAGGAAGTGAGTTTGCATTTTCCTGTTGTTATATGGGCATGGCATTTTCAAGGGTGGTCATAGTTGCACGTCCCATCTGTTTTTCCAGATTTCCCATGCCTGCAGATACTAAGTGCATAATATGTGCACAGGCTTAGTTTCCATTTGCCTTGGGCTTTTGTGACTGTATTCTTTGTTGGTGCATGTTTACCTGTCTCATTCCTATCCTCACTAGTACTAACAATGGAGCTCTCACCAGTTATTTCTGGTAATATATCCTCACTATTGCTAGTGGAGTCCCCTTGTTTGCTATCTCCTGTGGTATTACTAGTTTGTAATATTGGTTTTATGTTGTCCTTGACTACACTTGTTTCGCCACTACAGCTCCTGTCTCCCTCGAGGTCATTTATATGCATTCCCTCATGCGTACATTTACTGACTACCTGGACAGCACCTCCATCCTCACCATTACTGTCTCCCAGGAAGCACCTCCATCCTCACTATTACTGTCTCCCAGGACAGCACCTCCATCCTCACTATTACTGTCTCCCAGGACAGCACCTCCAGCTTCACCATTACTGTCTCCCAGGACAGCACCTCCAGCCTTACAGTTTCTGACTACCTGGCCAGTACCAAGGGCGATACCATCCAGCCCAGACTTTTTATTTTCCCATCTGTTATAGAATGCTTCCAGGTTTTCTATGAAGGCTGCTTTGATGTTATCCACTTTTAATACCAATGTGATTTTAATCCACAGATTGATCTCATTTAGGAATACCCAAAAACACTTCCCTGATTTAATACTGCTTGTAGATAGTTCTTGGATATCTGCACAAGGGGCGTGACACCAATTTTCACAAAAATGGCAAGTTATCCATGCGGAAGCCTATTTGTTTGACTGCAGACTACACAGAGCTTCATAATGCGATTTGAATGGTTGATTTACTATAGTTCTACTAGTAACCCCTTGAATATTCTACGAATAACCTCCTTAAAGTGAAGATCTGGCTATTTGTATTTCTATTTCTAACTGTACTTGTATATTAGGACAGCTTACCAGTGTACGTTCCATTTTATATTTATTGTTTGTGTTTGATAAGGGTGCCTAAAACCCCGTCTGTTTACAGTCTGCTTTATTGTCCAACGAATCCATTTGAAACCGGTCAAGGGCTCGGAACCAGTCGGATCTGATCAGTGGGTCACTTATTTAAAACATATCTGGTCGGTGATTTGGGCTAACACATGAAGGAACTACTGGAAATTATTTAACCGAGTAATATTGATTAGATTGATACAAAAGTATAACTTGCGTGTTGAAGAACCGGTGATTGCTGGCAGCTCCTACAATGATGAACAGTTGAGACCTTTATGTACAGCCTGAAGGATTATCGATCACTATCTAGCTTTTCTAGGTTTTTTTCAGTCTCCACCACAACAAATGCTATATTATCACTATAGTTGATTGGTGAAATTATTGGAGGAAAGACGCTTTTTCTGGAGTAATATTTGCTTTTCGTTGTGTATATTGCGACTGCTGGTAACTACAGGTTATATGAATTTCGCTGTATATGTCTGGTATTTCAAGAATGGAGAAAAAAAACTATTGAAAGTCACTCCATTCCACTAAGTACCATTATATTACTGGTTAGTTGCTACTACAACACTGTATTCTGCTATTCACTGATATCACAAGATTATATGCGAGGTACACTAGCAGGCCAGGAAGATTATTAAAACAGCTGACCTGTGTGGTAAGTTTCTGGCGACTTCTGGCACCTGCCTCTTTAGTCCTATCACTGCAGTTTGAATTACACCTGTTTTAAATGACACTTTAGCATTTATTATCTATATACTAGGGTGCCACTGTAGTATACACTATAACACTATGTATACACAATATTATCAGGGAAACTTTCTTTCCTCTGACTAAGTTCTATTATTATTATTTTGCACACGGCACACAGGCCTATGGTTCCCCTCTGGGAGTAAAAAACTGCTAGGTAGTGCACACTAATCCTCCTTTATGACTCAGTATGTACTATTTTCTCCCCAAGATTGGTTCCAAGCGCTAGAGGGATGTATCACATAAGATCGATGGCACAAATTAAGGTTCTAGCACGTAATAGAGACCGTGAAAACAGAGCACAACGAGGCACGGCGGGCATGGTGTATAGTTCAAGTGCCTACAAGAGCAAATGCTACATCAGTAGTACCGCTTATTTATATTCAGATCAAAGGTGCTCTGGTAATGATAAATGAAGACTGCAGTCTCTCTCCTCAAAATATGAGAAGCCTGCAAAAAATATGGAAAAAATCAGCACTTACGACAGCAACATGGGACTCAATATTAGACAGATTTAATTATGCATCAAATTCATATCAGAAACCAGATATTAATCTTGAAGTATAGCTAAAAACTGTAGTTCTTGTAGGAGTTTCTTTTGGACACCCATCCAACAATGATTGGTTATGAGAACATTACAGGAAAAAAAAATGTTGTACCATTTCTTATTTTCACATCATTTGTGACAAACTCCTTTCTGAGATTAAAAGGTAAGAATCATGTAAGAATCTTTACTGTTTTTATATGAATGGAAAAGCATCTTCACAGTGCAGTTATGACTGGCTACAGCAAGCTTATAAAGACTATATATGGAAATGACCTGGAGGACTTGTTTGAACAAATGACACATTCTCTAAAAATTTTACATTATTACAGTACAGGAAAAAGCACTTTGAAAAGCTCTCACCATCTACTTGTAGCATGTAAGTTGCTGGCTAACAGCAATCTGACAAGCTTTGTTCCTCATACTGCTGATGCATTTAGAATTTTATATACTCAGTACAAACCAAATAAAACAATGTTCTATTTTCCTTAGTAAATTGTGAAGAATTATAAGCGAGTTACATGTGTCAAGAACAATTTCATTGTTTAACTCTCTCAGGGACAGGAAGTGAGACTACAAGCCAACTTGACAATGGTAAAATTATAGAACACATTTCAATTTAAAATCCACAAGAATACCTTTGAATTAATATTATTGCTTAAAAAGTCTGTAGACTAGAAGCTATGCACTATTAATAATAGTAAGATAAGAGTTCATTTATTAAACATTTCTCTTATGCAATTAAACAGTCAAGATATTGTAATATAATATTCTGTATTATTCTCAATAGTATATAAAGCTCCCATTTTTTATTATTTGGATTTTTTTTTTTTACAAGATTTTGTAGATTATGAGGACCCAAATATTACCTGGGCTTACACACACACATACACACCCTTAACCTGGTCTTGGATACAGTTTCATGACACCAAATATGTACATCAAACAATAAATAAGACTAAAAGTTTATTCTGTAATGACATGTGGAAGAGAACTTCTCAGCACTTGGTAGATCACAGATTTAGTAAGGAATTAATTTAGTCAATAAGGAAATAAGATAACACATGATCATGAGAAAATTTGATTTCCGGAATGTAACAGAGAGACTTTAAAAGAAGTTGAACAAGTAATGTTAAGATCTAGTCATCAAATACTAGTCTGAAAGTGAATTATGTATTTCCACTTACAAACAACAACTCCTTGTTCTTTCACATTTTTCTGAGTCTAGCCCTGCATTTCTTGAACCATACCTGAGGTATACACATTTGTAAATTTGAGTTTACACTAAAAAGATGAAGTTACTGTTATATCATCTTGCGCGTACCATCTTCCTTTAAAAAGAAAATCTGAATTAAATTTTTTATTTATTCATCTCAACTATATCGTGTTCACTGAATTAATGTATATATGAAAAGTCGTACAAGCAAGAACATGTGATTTGACCTCTATGCGCTATTCCCCGCATTTTCAAAAGGAGCGACTGTTGACAGATTACACATGTTTTACACACTATATTCTACTCATACTTCTAACTTGGCATCTGTTAACAATGGCTCTTGATTATACTTTAATACTAGTGCATAAAGGTAATCAAATCAAAGAAACTAAATATTAATTTTCTATTTCTGACCAGCATATTCATCATTAGAAGTAGAAATATCTGTTTGCTCAAGCTTAATGTGCAACTTCACGTGCATACTCAACATGGGTATAACTACTGGAGGCCCAAATACTCTGCATGAAAGAGGTTTCTAAAATACACTTCCTACTTTTTTTCTCATTTTTTAGCACAAAGCAGAATGATGTAAGAGCATTAACTCAAGGAATATTCAAGCATTTGGGATTTGTATTATCCTACACATTATTTTAATTAAACAGTTTATTAAAAGTTAATACACAACACTGCATTTGGGCGGCCCACAGTCACACCCTGAAACTGCACCAGGTTGAGCAATGCACTACTGACTTCGTCATGACGGGACTGTCTACTTGTACTAGTCTCATGCTTGGTACTTGGGGGGAGACAGCGTACAACGCCACCAAGCAATTCAGGCTAGCATTTCATGCTGGCATTTAACACTAAATACTCTTTAATAACTTCATCTTTTCATACTAAACTTTCACCTATGTAAATTCTATAGGTATATTTCATAACATAGCAAGTATACCTAATTAATATAGCCTGTCTTCAAGAAAAAACAAAACTAATGTCCCATCATTCCCTTAATGACTTGCTCAGTATTATTACTCTTCAATGCTCAATCAATACTGTGCTTTAAAACGACCTTAAATGAGCAGATCTTGGAAAACCAATAGTGTTGATGAAATAAGAAGCTACAAGCACTACAATACAGATATGTCCATACTGCACATATCTATCTACAGATGCCATACAAGAAAAATAACTGGGAAAACAACAATACTGTATTACACTTAATAGATTGAAATTTAAATAGATATATTATTCTTAAAAAAAAAATTATTTATATATATATATATTTATGTAGCATATGATTCAAGCACAGTGGGACGCTAAGCTTATGACTTATGAGGGAGGGGTGAAAGTGGGGTGGGGGAGGAATTTTACAGTGTGCAGGTTATGGGTATTAAATACTTAAAGTTAAAAGGGTTTCAAAAAACCTACACATGAAATACACAGACACATTAAATAATATCTTATATCTGACTGGAATGACTTAGGTTAGCAACCAGGTCTCCATCTGTTCACTGTCCAACAGCTGTTCACAGTGGAAGACCAACAGTAGAGCAGACTTTCTTTTTCTGAATTTTCCTGACCAAAAACTTTGCTGTACTCTTAAATACAAGCATTTATACTTCTCGCTACTTATCCGTCCTTTTCATACTTAGCAAAAGAGGCTTGACAAACTTGAGATAGAGTTTCTAAACTGACTGACTAGAGATGAAATTTATCTGGTCATCCCTCAATGTTAACGCTTACAAAACACATTAAAAACCAAGCTATATCAAACATGATAACTGTCTTTATACAGGAGGAGATCATCCGCTCTGAAGATTGCCAAGCTCAGCCAGAGGATGATGGGGGACTGCCATGCTCCTTGGCCGAGGTATAGCCTCAATCATACGGTGGTCTCCAAGTCCTCATGAACCATGGTCTGAAACTGCTCCTGGCCTGCAAAAAAATATTGGTCTAGTTACATCACCACTCAACAAAGACATTTACAAACTAATTTTTTAACAATGTAAAAGCTTTTATATGTAAAGCAGGCACAGAAGCAACACATTAGTAAACAACTGCAATTAATGCATTTGGCATGAGTGAACAAAATAAGAAATGCAGATCATGGCATAAGCACTAAGCCCATTTCTATTACTGAAAGCCTTTTGTCAGACATTATAAATTATTACCTAAAGTTAAAACAAGTAAAATATTCATGCATATAAGAAATATTGCAAGACTTAATGTAATGCTATTATCTTTACATGAACACATGCAATTAAGGAAAATAAGAAGAGAGAAGGTCAACAGTGTCATTATGAAGTTTGAGTATAATTATAACAACTTTAAAACTTGAAGGGTATTAATTAAAATTTGAACTTAAGGATCTACTTTAAGACCATTTCTTTAGTGTTTTCATGTAGAATAGTTGTAAAAAACATTAAAATCTATAAAGTATGGATAAGGTAGATCTAAAATGCTTAAAAGGAAAAAAGGGCAACTTTAGCGTTGTTCATACGTACAGAACAGAGCCAGAGCAGAATCCTTGGCATAGAGCGTGCAAGAAACAGCGAGGTGATGTGTAATCCACTCTGTTGGCACACTATCTACACAATACTGTCTTATGTTTTGGATAGGTCTCTCACTCTGGAGTAATCTGACTCTATATAATATAAACATACTGACAGCATAATAGTAGTAACAGCAGCTGCTGCTGCTGCTGCTCAATCTCAGTGATTTCCATCCAAAACATTGTTTTGCATAATAAAATTCTGTACCGTGATCAGATATAAGTTCACCCTTTAATATGCTTTCACTGAGAATGATAACGAGTAATGAGTTAAAGCAGCAATTAGCTCAGCCCAATATAATTCTCACCTAAAGGCCCTCATCACCTGTCACGGCACATTTTCCATCAGTATGTAACCTTTCAACCTTGGTAGGCTACTTTGATAGAAATGAAATAGTCATCAATTGCAAATACAAGAATCATTTTCTAATGCCACCAAAACTATTAATTACAAAAAGATTAATATATACTTTTTATACAAACAACTTTTTAATCATTGGGTGGGTGTGCATGAGTTGACTTTTTATAGCTACAAGATTTACTGCTACATGGTTAATTACCTTATGTGTAACTAAATTGGCAAAGCAGTGGTGCAAAATGTGATTCATTGACAATATGCCTAAACTGCATCACTACATTCTTATGTAAACAACAATCTGGAACCTGCTATAACAGGTGCCACCCACCGTTACCTAGGGAAGCTTTTTAATTTGTTCGCAGTTTAGTCAACGTAATTGAGATTACTATTGTTGGGTTGAGAGAATTTCTCTTGGCCTGAAAAAGCAATAAAATAATGGAATCCACTAAAATTAAAAAAAAATATATAATTTATACTGAAGAATAAGTAGGCAACATGTAAGTCCCCTTTCCTGTCAGATCAGCACAAAAAAAAAAAAAAAGATGTATGGATTAATTTTTGTCATTTTTCAAATTCAAATCTCAATCACAAGTCAAAGTGAGAAGTATTCTTCCCTTCTGTCATCACTTCCTATTATGTAACACCAAAATTCTAATGTAATAATAATTACACATCTAACAAAATGGGTAAAATTCAAGAAATTCTGAGAGCCCCGTCTCATGAAGGCTATCACCCTGTTACTTTTAAGAATATTATTTAATTCATATTCTTATGTTAGTTGCATTTATCAGAAGGCTAAGATGGCATTCCAATAATACTCAGGCAGGGTTATAAAACAAGCATGCACATCTGTCTTCATGGGATATCAAATTAACCTTTGGTATAGGGTTACTTAAATCACAATAACTTAATACTTCATTCACTCCAATTTTCCTACTCTGATAAATGATCTCAATCAAGTAACATAAGTTTTTGGGGGCACTTATGGAAGACAACACTTAACAGTTTGCCTAAAAGCAGCAGCAGTATTTATAAACTAAGAAAGGCCTCTTGTCCTTAACAAAAATGGTCCAAGCTCGTGTGGTTCAAGGGACTCCCTCCACGAGGACGGTGCACGTGACTTGAGACCGTATCAGTAGTCACAAAACTTTAATAAACTTACAACACACTTTCCACCAAAATTTGTTTACTTGCCCCTTTGTACAGCACTGCAGAATGCTTACTAAGAGCAATAACTACTGTGCAACAGCATATACTTTCAAGTTTAGGAATAGGTAGTAAGTATGGTGTAAGTTTAATCAGCTTTGTGAATACCATTCATGTGCAACATGAGCCTTACATATGCCTTATAAGGGCCTTAAAGCCTTTGTAAAAAATATGAAAATTTGGTGAGGGCCTAAAGAACTACCTCACTCAGTGCAATAAAATAAAATGTGTACTATATTAATCTCTCTACTCTTAGCCTTTTAGCGAGTGCATGGTGACGTGCACCCCTGAGAGAGTGGGAGTAAGAGGTGTGGCAAGGAAGAGATGACTGATCTTCTCCCTCTGGCATGGATGCACCAAGACCCATCAGCTGGCACTTACTCTCCAGATAGGCAGCCAACTCCTGGTCATCTGCACGTTGTGCCAGAGCCCTGGGTGTGTTGCCCTGCAGGTCTCTGATGGTCAGGGATGCACCTGCTGCTACCAGCATGCAACACACTGTTCGTCGTCGGTTATGTGCAGCCTGGTGAAGTGCTGTCTGGCCTCTGCAAGTTCACAATTAGATTTACTCTTAGTGTATCTTAAAGAATAAAAGAATAAAGATTTTATTTCTCTGCAAAGGTTACAATGTGTAATTACAATTTTGATTTGTTAAGTACAAAGAAAGCCACTATCATGCCGGGGCATTTTGGGCAGACAAACCCTAGTACATAACAATTACCTGGAGTTTACCTGGAGAGAGTTTCGGGGGTCAACGCCCCCGCGGCCCGGTCTGTGACCAGGCCTCCTAATTACTTAAGTCTAGACAAGATAAGAGTGGTTAACTTTTTAATAAATCTTTATTTTATCTTTTATCTTTTAACAGATGCAAACGAAGTAAATTGACAAATTTACAAAGGATTATTGTAACTAAAGTTATCATAAATTATTTATCCACTATACTCATTTCTAATAAAAATAAGATATGGTTAAATGGCACTATAACCTCCTGAACTTGTATTGCACAGGGAGATCCCTACTCAAGAATGCCTGAATTACCATGATCTATGCTTATAAGCGAGGTCCAAAAGATATAATATAGAGAAAATAACTGCTTGGATCCCTTCATGTTATTGTCAGGCACAGTATAGATGCTCTGTGATATTAATAAAATAACAGGCACTTCATAAGGTGTAGTAATTATCTGTCTGATACAAAGTAGCTATCATCTTACTGTGTGGTTCTGGTATGTATTATGGTAGATGACCAAGGATATTGAAAAATTTAGACATATGTGCAACATCATCTAGGTATCTTTATTGTAGACATTTTGCCAACCAGTGGCTTTATCAATACAAATTCTAGGACATGATATGAAGACAGTAGAACTATATACAAAAGATGAGGTAATCAGTCCCTCAGCCTTAAAGTTGGTGTTAAGAGCACTGTAGTCATGAAGATTCTGGTTGGCAGAACGTCTACAATAAAGATACCCAGATGTTGCATGTGTCTAAATTTTTCAACTTGTCGGTATTGTATACCGTTCATGTATAACTTGTCAGATACAGCAACATCATGGAATCTTGGTTCAGAGTACATCCACATTACTTCTTCACAGCTGCTACTACTAGTTCGACTACTACTACTGTGACTACTACTACTACTACCACCACCACTAGCCCGTGCCTTGGGTATGACCTACTTCCACTGGGGATTTCCCCCTACCAGTGACTATGCCCTCCATCTTTCACCAGTATAAAAGCAGCAGCCTTCTTGCCTGTGGTCCAGAATCTTCATGACTACGGTGCTCTTAACACCAACTTTAAGGCTGAGGGATTGATTACCTCATCTTTTGCATATAGTTCTACTGTCTTCATATCATGTCCTAGAATTTGTATTGATAAAGCCACTGGTTGGTGAAATGTCTACAATGAAGATACCTAGATGTTGCACGTATGTCTAAATTTTTCAACTTGTCAGTATTGTATACCGTTCATGTACAACCAAGGATATTACTTGGCAAGACATATTATGATCTTTATTTTAACTTGAAGGCTGTAAGAAATTAGCTCTGCTTGTCAGAAATCCAAATCAGAAACTTGGCTTCACAAAGATGTGAGGGTAGAGGAGTGTTTACAAGTTTCTGAACAATAATCTTCGCATAAAAGCTAATACATTTTGCCTCGGTTGCTCATACAGTGGACCCTCGTTTTTCGTAAGGCTCAAAAGTCATAATTTTCAGAAATCATAACTTTTTTTTCGTCAAAATATTGACTCGCAAATCGTCGTTCATCTCGGACGCGTACTCATGGCCCCAAGCCGCCTCACACTCCATTCCCAGCCAGTGTGCCATTGTTTACCAGTGAGTGACCATCCCCTCATGTGTTCATACGAAATATTTCATAATATTCCATTCATTTTAGTGCTTGCAACTGCTAAATAAGTTACCATGGCTCCAAAGAAAGCTACTAGTGCCATACCTCTGGTAAAGAAGGCAAGAAATACGAATGAATTCAAGAAAAAATCACTGAACAATATGAAAGTGGTGTACGTGTGGCAGAACTGACCAGGATGTATGAGAAACCCCATACAACCATAGCTTCCATCATGGTCAAGAAAAAGGAAATCAAGGAAGTTGTTGTTGCAAAGGGGGTAAATATGCTGACAAAAATGAGATCGCCAGTACTCGAAGATGTTGAGAAGTTATTGTTGGTGTGTATTAACGAGAAACAATTAGCAGGAGATAGTCTTATGCAGTCGCTTATTTGTGAAAAGGCTAGGCAGTTGCATGACGATCTTGTAGAGAAACTGCCTGCAACGAGTACTGATATTTATGAATTTAAGGCCAGCAAAGGCTGGTTTGAGAGATTTAAGAACCATAGTGGCACACACAGTGTGATAAGGCATGGCCAGGCTGCTGGTTCTGACAAAAATGCAGCTACAAAATTCGTAAATGAATTCAAGGAGTACATGCAGACTGAACAATTAAAACCCCAACAAGTGTTCAATTGTGACGAAACAGGCCTCTTTTGGAAGAAAATGCCAAAGAGGACCTACATTACTCAGGAGGAAAAGGCACTGCCAGGACACAAGCCTATGAAAAACAGGCTAACTCTCACATTTTGTAGTAATGCTAGTGGGGATTTCAAAGTGAAGCCATTACCAGTGTATCATTCTGAAAATCCCAGAGTGTTCAAGAAAAACAATGTCATGAATAGTAAATTGTGTGTGTTTTGGAAAGCTACGAGGGAAATTTTCATTGACTGGTTCCACGAAGTGTTTGGCCCTAGTGTGAAGAATTACCTCCTGGAAAATAAATTGGATCTCTAAGTGCCTCCTGCTAATGGACAATGCACCTGCTCATCCTCCAAACTTGGATGACCTAATTCTGGAGGAGTTTGGGTTCATCACAGTGAAGTTCTTGCCCCCTAATACCACTCCTCTCCTCCAGCCCATGGAGCAGCAGATCATTTCAAACTTTTAAAAAAACTCAACACCAAAGGAATGTTTCAAAGGTGCTTTAATGCGACCTCAGACACTCACTTGACCCTAAGAGAGTTTTGGGAAGATCACTTCAGTATCCTTCATTGCATAAGCCTTATAGGTAAGGCTTGGGAGGGAGTGACTACCAGGACTTTGAACTCTGCTTGGAGAAAACTGGGGCCAGATTGTGTCCACAAGAGGGATTTTGAAGGGTTTGGGGGCTGACCCTGACGAGCCTACGGCAGCTGTGGAAGCTATTGTGGCATTGGGGAATTCCATGGGGTCGGATGTGAGTTTGGAGGATGTGGAAGAGTTGGTGGAGGGCCACAACGAATAGCTAACCACTGACGAGCTACAAGAGCTTCAGCTGGAACAGTAACAGACCGCAGCTCAGAATATTGCTTCAGAGGAGGAGAAAGAGGGATGGAAGAAGGTGCCTTCTTCAGAAATTAAGGAGATTTTTGAAACGTGGAGTAGGATAGAAAGATTTATGGAGAAACATCACCCTGACAAAGCTGTTGCAAGCCATGTCGGCAACATGTACAGTGACAAAGTCTTGGCCCATTTTAGGGAAGTTTTAAAGAGATGCCAGAAACAGAGCTCTCTCGACAAGTATTTAGTGCCACAGGTGTATAGTGACTCTCAAGCCGGTCCTAGTGGCATTAAAAAACAAAGAAGGGAAGTAACCCCAGAAAAGCACTTGGTACCTGAAGTCTTTATGGAAGGGGATTCTCTTTCCAAACAGTAAATAATCCAATCTCTCCCCTCCTCCAGTCTTCCTTACACTAAGAAGAATCACCAATAAAGGTAAGTGTTATGCTGTTAATGTTTCATTCATCATGTCTCATTGTTTTGTGTGTGTGTACATCCATACATGTATTTCATGTAAAAAAATTTGTTTTAATACTTCTGGGTGTCTGGAACGGATTAATTGTATTTACATTATTTCTTATGGGGAAAATGGTTTTGCAAATCGTCAATTTCGATAATAGTCACATTTTCTGGAATGGATTAATTACGAAATACGAGGGTCCACTGTATTAGTGTTACTGCGAAATGCCTCGGCATGAGAGTGGCTTTCTTTGCTCTAATCATATTATGATATGTAAACACACATTGTAACCTTAGCAAAGAAATAAATATTTTTTTTTATTTTACAAGCAAAAACTTACCTTTTTCTTCCACCTTTGGCATTTCTCTGGCAATAATAAAAAAAATAGATAAATAAAAACTCAACACTAATTGCCATTTCTTTTGACCACATTTATGGTGAACAAAGACAACAATAATGGTCCACAATTACCTGCTACATTCATGATCTAAAACCACATTACAGACTTACTTCTCTGTGTCCACCATGTCAAGGATGGAAGGTGGAGCGGATGCAATTAGGTATCGCACTATATCTTTGTATCCATGCCGAGCACCAAAATGAAGAGCAGTCTGTCCGTGACCATCAATTGATAACAATGAGTATCCTTGAGAATGCAAATCCTTTAGCTGTAAAAAAATGAATTCCAATTAAAAAAGATTAAAAAAAAAAAAAAGTTTAGCAAATTTTGAATTTAATTATGAGTGGGAATACTGTATCTACTAACCTTATTTATGTAGAAATAATGACAAATTTACTGCCTGTAATTACCTAATACATTTGTCTACACACAAACAAAAACACACACAGTTACTCTCTCACTGTCACTCACTCTCTTATTGTTACTTTTTCAATGTCATTCTCTCATTGTCCAAAAGATAATGTTTTACAGTGTATTATTATTTCAAACATCTGTGAACTCTTCATAATCTTTTTAATGTTTACTGATGTAAAGAGTTTGCCAGTAACTTAACTCGCCCTTTTTTTTTCTTCTTTCATGTTTATTCAATAAATTTTATTTCTCACATTTACACTGAATGTATCACTTAAGAAAAAATGCTTTTAATTTTACACTACAAAGAAACTGCAGACTGATATCCAATACAATTTTGACAATGTGCCAACACCACAATCCTGAAACCATGAGTATAATTATGCAGAAAATTCCATTGTTAATTGGGAATGAGATGTACATGCACAGTCAAGACATTAGGATTTAAAAAATCAACCAGTGGTGAAATATCCCTTCAATATGTCTTAGATTATCCCTGTACAGGTATAGGTATGTAACCAAATTTATTTATTTTTTTTTTTTAAACTAGTATTTTCAACTACAACTTTTATATTATCCTGCCTACCATCTTACTAGCATATTATAACCAAGACATTGCCATTTTTATTTTTATTATTTTTTTATTATTCTTTTGCTACCTTAACTTGTGTATTTTATCTTGTCAATTTAAATCTAATTATCCTCTAGTTCTTGTAAACAACTTATATAAGACCTTAGTGCAATTACAATTGAGAGTCTTGTGCCATTTTTATATTATTAGATTAACCTAGTTGTACTATAGCTCATTCTAGCTCAATACATAGATAATACCCAATTCATTTTATTAGACCATAGTGCAATTACAAGTGAGAGTCGGGTGCTATTTTTAATTTGTATTTTTATATTAGATTAAACCTAGTTGTACTATAGCTCATTCTAGCTCAATACATAGATAATACCAAATTCATTATATTAGACCCTAGTGCAATTACAAGTGAGAGTCTGGTGCTATTTTTAATTTGTATTTTTATATTATTAATTTATACTTAGTTGTACTTTAGCTCATTCCAGCATAACACATAGACAACATCAACTTCATTATGTGTATTAGTGACTATACTCTATATGACAAAAATGCTTTAGCTATATACTTGTCCAAACTTCCCACCACTACAGATATCAGTACTAGAACTCAACACACAACCCAGGATATAAATAACCACAATTTAAACCTAGATGATTGATCACATTGACCCTGATCTAAACCTCCATAATCAAACACCCAATCATAACCTATTGGAAAGTAACTGCCTTTATTACACAGCATCACAAGCCAGCACTATCCTAAACAATGCTAAAAGTCTATCAGTTCTTAACTACAACATCAGGTCCTTAAGCAAACACTATGATGACCTCCTGGCACTCCTTGAGTCGCTATAAACACCCTTCTCCTGCATTATTCTTATTGAGACCTGGCTTAAGCAGGACACAATAGATATCTACCCTCTACCAGGATACACAGCAATCCACAACTGCAGACCATACCAAGTTAGGGGTGGTATTGCAATCTATTACTCTAACCAATTATCTTGTATTAGTACCACTTGTTTAGTGATGAATATGGGGAATACATTTTTGCTAATTTTACTGTAAAAAACCTTAAGATGCCTATAACAATCGGTGCCATTTACCGGATACCCCACACAAACATCCCAAATTTCAGTGAGAAATTAAAGGCACTAATAACAGACAAATGAACAAGCACCACCACCTCTTAGCTGGAGACTTCAATATCAATCTTGGCCTACTAGATGATCAGCCTGTAACTGATTTCATCAACAATATGAACAACTCACTTCTCTTACCAACAATAACTAAACCAACCAGGCTCACTGAGACAAGTGCAACAATAATAGACCACATATGGACCAATATACAGTGGACCCTCGACCAGCGATGGCATCGATTAACGATAAATCTGACTAGCGATACATTTTATCGCAAAAATTTTGCCTCGATTAGCACTAAAAAACTCGACCAACACTATTCCTTCCGTCTGAGACGCATCCACTTCTGGCCAGTGTTTACAAGCCAGCCAGCCACCGCGGTCGCTTCCAAGCATACAATCGGAACATTTCATATTAACACAGCCTTTTTAGTGATTGCACCTGCAAAATAAGCCACCATGGGCCCCAAGAAAGCTTCTAGTGCCAACCCTACAGCAAAAAGGGCGAGAATTACTATGGATATGAAGAAAGAGATCATTGCTAAGTATGAAAGTGGAGTGCATGTCTCCGAGCTGGCCAGGCTGTACACAAAGCCCCAATCAACCATCGCTACTATTGTGGCCAAGAAAACGGAAATCAAGGAAGCTGTTCTTGCCAAAGGTGCAACTATGTTTTCGAAACTGAGATCGCAAGTGATAGAAGATGTTGAGAGACTGTTATTGGTATGGATAAACGAAAAACAGATAGCAGGAGATAGCATCTCTCAAGCGATCATATGTGAAAAGGCTAGGAAGTTGCATGACGATTTAATTAGAAAAATGCCAGCAACTAGTGGTGATGTGAGTGAATTTAAGGCCAGCAAAGGTTGGTTTGAGAGACTTAAGAATTGTAGTGGCATACATAGTGTGATAAGGCATGGTCAGGCTGCCAGTTTGGACCAAAAAGCAGCTGAAAAATATGTGCAGGAATTCAAGGAGTACATAGACAGTGAAGGACTGAAACCTGAACAAGTGTTTAATGGTGACACTGACAATGTTGTGAAACACGTTAGGAATGTCATAAAGGAACGGGAGGTACAGGCCTCTATGGGCAGATATGTTGTGCGACAGAGGTCCAGTGACTCTCAAGCTGGTCCTAGTGGCATTAAAAGAAGGGAAGTAACCCCGAAAAAGGACTTGCCACCTCAAGTCCTAATGGAAGGGGATTCCCCTTCTAAACACTAAGACCATCAACACACTCCCCTCTTCCCATCCCATCAATCATCACCAGATCTTCAATAAAGGTAAGTGTCATGTAACTGTGCATGTCTTCTTCAGTTTGTGTGTATTAAAATTAATATTTCATGTGGTAAAAATTTTTTTTTTCAATACTTTTGGGTGTCTTCCACAGATTAATTTGATTTCCATTATTTCTTATGGGGAAAATTAACTTGACTAACGATGAGCTCTCAGGAACGGATTAATAGCGTTAGTCGAGGGTCCACTGTACTAGCACCCTTTAAATCAGGGATAATCACAGACAGCACTACAGACCACTACCCTACCTTCCTCTTGACAAACATTAGTAAACCACCACTAGAATACAACCAAGTTTCATTTAGACTCCATGATGAGGCCTCAATAAGGAATTTCACAGCTGACCTAGAGAGACTGTTGACTGGCCTACAGAATTCTCCAAGGCCAATGGTATTGATGACTGGACAGACATTTTTCTCAACAAATTACTTAGACTATACAACAAACATTGTCCTATAAAAACAAAACAGATCACAAATAAACGGCTTGGTTGCCCATGGCTAACCAGCACCATTCTGAAATCCACTGATAAGGAACACCAATATGAAAAGCAATATAGACAGAGCTTAATACACAAAGATATTCTTAAACACTATTCATCAGTTCTCACCAAAGTAATAAAGAAAGCCAAACAACTATACTACTCCAGCAGATTCACTGACACAAGAGGAGATATAAAAAAGACCTGGAAAACACTCTCCCAGATTCTAGGGACCCACAAACTAAAAAAAAACAAGAATATTGTCCTAACTAAACCTAATGAAACACCACTGCATCCCACTGACACAGCTAACAAGATAAATGACTTCTTCTCAACCATAGGATCTAATCTCGCCAATAAAATCCCACGTACCAATACCCATGCCGGGGACTACCTAGATAGGAATTTCCCAAATTCCTTCTATCTTGTATCAACTGAGCCCATGGAAGTCACCAAGATTATAAAGTCACTTAAAAATAACTCAGGGAATCTGTCTCATGTCCCACCATTATTGTACAAGCGAGCGGCCCATGTCCTTTCGCATGCTATTTCATTACTTTTTAACAAGTCACTAGAAACAAGCACCTTCCCGAAACTACTCAAGACAGCAAGGGTTACACCAATACATAAAGGTGGTGACCCTACAGATTTAAACAACTATAGGCCAATATCAAACTTACCATTGCTATCCAAAATCTTTGAGAAACTCATGCACAGGAGACTATATTCATTTATAACGGCACAAAACATACTCGACCCCTGCCAATTTGGATTCAGGAAAAATAAAAGCACTAATGATGCAATTATAAAAATGCTAGATCTGCTTTACACAGAATTGGAAAATAAGGAATATCCGCTAGGAATTTTTATTGACCTAAGAAAAGCTTTTGACACAGTAGACCACGGCATCCTACTCCACAAACTTGACCATTATGGTATAAGAGGCCATGCGCTTGCATATTTCAAATCCTACCTTACTAATAGGTATCAGTATGTCACCATTAAAGACGCAGCATCATCAACACGGCCACTTGATACTGGAGTTCCGCAGGGAAGTGTCCTTGGTCCCCTGCTCTTCCTCATATACATCATCCCAACACCTGAACCCCATTCTCTTTGCTGACGACATGACTTATGTCATCTCTCACCCAATCTTGCCACCTTCAACACCATTGTTAATGAGGAGCTGCTCAAAATATCAACTTGGATGACAGCCAATAAACTTACACTTAACACTGACAAAACCTACTACATATATTATGTTTGGTAGCAGAGCAGGAGTTGCGCAAATTAACATTAAGATCGACAACACTAATTGCCAGACATAATGAGGGCAAATTCCTAGCCCTATACC